AATTTAAGTAATATCTTGAACATAATGCATGAAAACAGCTTATCCTTTTCTGGGTATTTTGGGTCATATTTATGATTATAATTTATGCCATGCACATTTAAGCCTTCAGAAGCTTCTAAGTGGACTCACAAAGAGCTCTTTAATGACCCCATCTACTATACCCTTTGACTCACCATATTTTCTTTTTACAGTTTCTTTCATTACTGTTTACATTTTCTTATTATAAACATGGCTTCAAGCTGACACCCTTATGGTTTCTGACTTACACTTTCTATTGTACTTGAGGCCCTCTACCCAAATTTTAACGCAAAAATGTCCTGCCTTTATTCATAACTTAAAGAATATCATTGTTTGTCTTCAAATTTTTAGCTGTGCTCCTAAAGATAGTATTTCCTAATAGCATTGTCCGCACAGAATAGTTCTCGGAGATGGGCTAGCTGGTGGTGTGATGGTTCTGGTGGCTGGATCTAGTGTAGTTGGATCTCACATGGTTGACTGTGAGAAGCAAGTCCCTGGTAGCTTGAAACACATGTGGAGGTGTGTGAGTGTGTGCCCGAAAATCCTGAAAGGGGAAATGAAAGAGAAGGGATTGCGGCCTGACCCCTCCCCCAAAGTACTTTCTTACTTTCCCTCTGTTTCTGTGTCTCTCTGGCAACCGAGTGTGCCCTCTAGAAAGTTTAAAAAGGGAGAGAAAGAATAGTTGTAAGAGAGACTTAAAAAAAAAAATTTACAAGTCAATCAGCTACCTACATATAGTACTGAATATGATTGTGTAGGTTTATGTTAGCTCTGTAGGAAAGAATGCTGTGATCAATTTGTAATGTTTGCAATGAATGTGCAATAAGAAAATGGAAGCATGTGTACCATATGTTAGGCATTATGATATAAAACTGTAGTCCCCAAACTTGAATATTCATAACATAGGGAACTTAGAAAAATATAGATCCCTCCATCCTCCCTACTGACCTTTAAGATTCTGGGTCCATAGGTCAGGACTGATATCAAAAACAGTGATAATTGTAATCCAGATGGTACTTGATTTATATTTTGAGATATACTAATCCAAAATATATGAACAATTCTTGTGAGTATTAAATTTGGATGTAAGACTGAAAATACTAACATGCTTCAATTCTATGACACAAACTAGACTAGGTTTAAATTTACCAAAAAACTGTTTCATACTACTGAATTTACCATAGAATTCCACTATAGCCCATGGAAAATTTCAGGGTTATTCACCCTGAGAATACTTCAGGGGGTGAAAAAATGTAATCTTTCTTTCTTTTCCCTATTCACTTTCCTGCAAAGGCTCTGAGAAATTATAGTAAGTGGCACATGTAAGTCCCAAGGATAGCAGGACGGATTTTACCCATCATTATCTAGGGGTGGGTTGATACTGCATGTGGCTATTACCTGTGGGGTACTGCCTATGGAAAGTACAAAAAGCTCTTCAATATGAAGTTCAAAATATTTGAAAATTTGTTTCAGTAATTAGACATATTGCTGAAAAAAAGTCTTAATTTTGCCAGACAGCACATTTGCTCACTAGAAAGAGAGAAAGTGAGAAAGCACCCCACACACACACCCTCCATGGAGAATGGTCACACCACAATTTCTTCCCCTCCATTGCTCCTTTCAGGGTTTGGGGCATACACACACATGTACCTAGTGTGTTTTCCTAACTGCCAGGTCTGGGATTTGTATTGCGCAGTCAGCAATGTAGGATCTAGATCCAGCATCTTAACCACGGTCACTGGCTGGCCCAGTTACTAAAAATTTTATCGATAAAATTTCTTCTTAAAAGCACTTTTCCTTCTGAAGATAATCATGAAAGGTCAGGATAGAAATAACTATCCATGAAGCAGAGTTCTAGATCTAGATTCTCATTGTTATGTCTTCAGTTGTTTTTCCCTTAAAAAATATCTTTTTTTATTTTTTGCTTTCATTTAAGAATGTTCTTTTCCTCTCAAAAATCCCCCTCAAATTCTGGTAACATGAAATATGAATAAATGACAATATGCAATTATAACTAACATCTGTTTCCATTATAAATGAGAACAGGAAGAGAAAGTATTATAAGTCAAAACACATCAAGAACTCAATGCTGACAAATAGAGTAAAAGGTTATTTCTTCACTGGCAGCAATTGCTGGTGGGATACTCTAGGATATGGAATACCCAAAGGCTGATATTTGAAGAATGATGTTTATGGATGTTAGTGCATTCCGTTATATTGGATAAATTTATTTACTATTATAAACTATCTTTATTTATAATCAAACAATAGAGAAACATTTCACATATAAGCAAGCCCCAATATATATTATTAAGTGTCACAGCTGTAGAATTTTCATTAAACTCTTGAAAGTTAACCTTCAAGGCCTCTCATTTGCATAGGCCCCTTACAAAGCTCTACTCAACTTTGCATTTATAATATTAATTCTTCTTTATAATTATAACTCTTCTTTAATTGTATGATATTCTGATCTCACAAATACTGGATCTGACTCTAGCTGTATGTGATAGTATTTTTAAAATAGGAAGAGGGTTTGGAGATCATGTAATTTGACATCTACATTTTAGAGCTGAAAAATAGCAAGTTTCTTTTCAAATTAGTAAATAAAGTTACTTTAAGAAGGAACCAGATGGTGGGGCAGCATTAAAGCACAACACAGCATTAATCCCACTGGGGAAGGTTCCTGGTTTGGATCTGGAGACCTCCATATATATATACGAGGCATGAACTTGCCCGTGATCTAGGGAGAGCTGAAGTCTTGGTGACAGCAAGACCCTGTTTGCTGTCTCTCTGCCTCTCTTGATTATGGAAGAAAAAATATACTTTAAAAAAAATCACAAATTAACTTTATGATATTCATTGTTCATAATTTTTTTCCTTAAAGCACTTATTTAAAACTTTAGCTGACATATTTGGAATTATTAAAAGACCACAGCCTGGAAGACACAGTTTAAAAAATGATTCCCATTTGCCCTTCTAGAAATCTACAAATGCACCCACAGGGGAGTTCCAGAAAAAACTTAGGATCAAAATATCAAGGGCAACTAACAGTACCCTGTAACATTACCAGCTGCCTAAAGCATTATTTATAATGGATTTTTCATTCAAGTTAAAAAAATTATACCCAAGCAACTTCTCCCAAGAAATGACTGTAAGAGATGTTAACTTATATTTAATAACTCATTTATGAACATTTGTTTTAATTTTCTTTTATAAAAAAGTAATAAAAGTAATGAAAATCATTTTAATTTAGATGGCAAATATTCATTTCACTAATAGATCAAAATGAACTTCTGAAGAAACAGAGTAGAAAGTTATTAGACTGAGTCTATTTCTACCAAATTCTCTAAAATTAGCCAAAACTTAAGAACTATTTTATATTCATGCTTGAAGCCCAAGAATAAGTTTATAGTTCATTGGGAATAAAAGAACTCGTTATTTATTTATTTTAGAAAACTGAAGGAATTTAATTCTGAAGGAATCAAGCCAACACATATTTAAATGGCATTAACATTAACATGAATGTAGTAAATTTACAGATGCCATTTAATAAAACATATATGTAGAAGACAAAACAACAATAAAAACAGATTCTAAAAATAAATATGTGTCATATATCACTAGAACAAAACTTTTTCTATGAATAGTGAGAAGTAAGAACAGTGTCATTTTAATTTTAATTGATGGACACATTTTAAGATCTTTCATTCAACAAATATTAAGTGCCTGATTTAGTCATTTTTAGAATGGTTTCTTTTAATATATGTAGAGAATATCTATAAGAAACTATATACATGAAACTCTCTATATACAAAAGTATCTATATGTAGATACTACATATGTGAAGTAATATATGTATATATTTTATATATATATATACACACACACACACACACACATACATAAATATTCCTTCCCAAATTGGCACACTGTATTATAGACAACTGATAAGAATTGCGGTATAGGTATTAGAAACTTACAGCAAATGGCTAGTCATAATGTGGTATGGATATACTAGATTAGTAATTAGATTTACTCTAATTAGACATTAAAACCCCATTATTAAACTCCATTTTATTTTTGAATTATGATAATTTAAACAGAGGTCTTGTCTCTAATGATGAAGCTATAGCAATTGCACAAGCGAGTGTAGAGGGGGATTGAATTAACTTTAAGGCTGCAGTAACTTTTCAGCCTTCTGGTGGGACCCATTGCACAGCCATATACCAATGACATACCGTCCACATCTGCTTAATGCTGCAGAGGCTCTAAAATCTTTACTTGTTAATCATTGGCTGTTAAAAAAGGGTCTCTTTTACTTTATCCAAGTGATTTAAATGTATTTCCTCAGATATTTTATGTAATTATTAATGAGGTTTTAATTTTTGCACTTTTGTAATGTAAAGGAAATAAAAACAGGAACTGGAGATATTATTCCTATAAATGAAATGAATAAGGAAAAACAATTTTGGAAGAGATTGATCAATTTTCACATTAAATTTATATGCATCCTGTGTGTTAAAATAAACTAAATGTATTTGTTTGTGAATACAAATTTAACCGATTAAAGAATTCCATGCCAAGTGAATATTTCTTATAATATAAAAATGTAAATCTTCGGTCTTAAAAGGGAAAAATTTTATCATTTTTATCTAGTTGTAAATATGTCTTAATTTTAAAACATCTGCAACAACAACAAAAAATGAAAAAGCATATCACTGTCAGTTTGAAAGGATTGAATTAAGGCAGACCTTTTTCTCTCGTGTTGAATCTTTCATATTTGTCACTATATTATCCATGAAAGGTCTTGCTAGGAGACAAGGTTACTCTACATGATGCCAGCTTGTAAATATTCGACATTGAAGCCTCATAGAACCCGCTAAGGGCAGCGAGTGGATACCATCAGCAGTACTGCATTAGAGACAACAGGGAATTAATTGAGAATGACACCCGTAGAGACCACTGGCTGCTAAGAAGGATACGATCAGTGCCAGGAAAGAGCACTGCACCTTTTATCATTTCTCCCATGATGCACCCTACTGACCACATGTCAACTGAAAACAAAAATGAAATGAAGATAAACAAGAACACAGGAACAGAACAACAAAGAAATGAAAACACTGGGCTACCCAGGTCTTAGAGCAACAGGCTAACTTTTCGCTGACTGGATGACAGGCCAGTCTCACGATCATTACTGTTTTCAGCAGTGAAAAGGGGAGAACCCAGAATGTCAGGGCCCTTTTCTACCATATAACTGAACTAACAATGCTACCAATGCTACCTGAAGTATGATAATATTACTTTGCAATTATAATTCAATGATTAATTTGGTTTCTGACATTAAAGGTCTAATTTACATTCATCTACTAGAATCCTACTGATTGGTATCGTAAATTATGCTAGATTGTGTTAATATGGGAAACATGCAAATTGATTTCTTTTTTATTCTTTTGTGCACCATATTTGGAAAAAGAAAAAAGAAAAGCTAAGCTGCCAGCAACCTCAAAAGAAAGAACTTTTTTAATAAAATACATTTACTCTTATTTATAAATATGAATAAGTCTCTGGAAGTGAAAAGCCAGTTCAAGAATGAATGTTTTTGGAATATGCTGGCTTGGTTTCATCGACTTCCATCAAAAGAACATGTTTCTAGACAGGAAGCCTTGTCTTATTCTTATAAACATGGCTGCTTTATAATGGTAAGACATGTTGGCTTTCAGAATGAGATGGTTCAACATGAGATAAGCAGTGTAACTCAAGAGCTGACACTTCTGGGACTGGATCAAAAGAAACCTGGAGTCCAGTGTGAAATTACAATGGCCTCTTTGCTATTGCCAGTTATCATCCAGAGCATAAAACCAGCAAGCCAGGGCACATGGGGAGGGGGAGAATAGGGAAGGACGAAGCAGGAAAGTGAAACCTCTCTCTCGAGCTACACTTGCTTACTCACTTTTTCTTACTGAAAATTCAGAGAGACAGGTCATTCTTAATGGAGGGAAGGGAACTAGAAGAAGATGTTGAGGGGAACAATAGGGAGAGGGCATTAAGATAGCGGCACAATATAATTTTGCTCCACTTACTTGTCAAATTACATCTTGTAATTTGGCGCTGACTTTAAAGAATTTCTCATGAGATTCTTTCCAATGTGAAAATCTCACTCGGGTTAAACCTAAAGTTTCCATTCAATTTAACCTAAACGGAGTGATCCACTGCAAAGAAACGGTTACAGCTTGGAAGGTGATAAGCATACCCAGAGAAGCAAATTTGTTTTGCTTCCATTTTAGGAAAGCAAGTGACATGCAAAACTATCAGGGAAAGATAGAGCAAACAGTTGTGCATCCCTTTAGTATTAATGCATTTGTCGTGTCAGGTAACATCTGTCTCAAAAGAGGTTGGTAGGTTGGTATTGTGAAAATCTTTGATCATAGAGAAAAAGAAAAAAAATCTATGAAAATGTATTTATTTTTAAATTGCAAGTATTCTTATCACACTTTCCAAAGTGATCAGTCTGAGTTGCTATTTATAGTGTATCTAATTTGTTTTTTGTAGGTACTATAGTAGAGATAGACAAAAACAAAACCAAACAAAAATGAGCAAAAGATCCCTGTGAGCAGTGTTTTCTTTGTATAGCAAATATTTTCTACTGTATCTCTGGCAGATACTCATTTTTTTTCTATTGTAGAATCAACTCTACTGCTTCTAACTACAGCTATGGCCACGCTATTTCACCTCTCTAAACCTCGATTTTACCCCTAAAATGTGTAGATATATAGTATATATCATGCAGATTTTTTGAAAAGACTTAAAAGGATTATGCATGATAAAACTCCTTCCACATTACCTATACACAGTAGGTCCTCAATAAATATTAGTCATGTATTGTCATGTGTTAAATATGAATCTCAGAATTATACACAGTTTCTAATTATACAGAACAAGACTTTTTCTTTATATTGGTGTCATTGGAAAAGTCATGATACATTTTTGCATAGAAAACATAGAAAAATACATCACTGACTTTTTCAGTGCCCCAATATCTATGTAATAATGATTTCCTGTATATTTATGTATATAATAAATCCTAATGAGGGAAACTCACCACTCATGTAATTTATTTCATTGTTGAAACCCTCTGGAAAGCCATCCTACGTACTGAATAATGGTTGACTCTATGGAATTTTTCTCTACTAAACAGAAATCTCTGTTTCCTCATCAAGATAATGGCCTTAAAATATGTGAATGTGGGACCAGCAGGTCACTCCCACATGGCTGACCATGGTTCAAATCCTGGACCTGGTGCCTTGCTTTCTCACTTCCCCTCTTTCTGTCTCTGTGTCTCTCTTTGTCAAATTAAAAATAAATGAATGAATAAATAAAATTTAATAAATAATTTTAAAAAGATCTGTGAATGTAAATTGTAATCTTAATCTTTAACAGCTCCTTTCCTAAGACTGGCCAGTTTTATCTTTCAGATTAAAATTCTTTGATTTTTTTTAGTGTCCCTTGCATGTGCCTTTAAACAACAGGAGAAGGCCAAGGTGACATTCTAGTTAGCATGTTGCTTTAGTTCCACTGGCTCAAGACAGTCACTGTCTGAATAACTGGCATTAATAACAAGTATTTCTCCTATGCCTTTTGTCATGGTTCTGTGAGATACTCATATTCCAAAGTAAAAGGAAACATTGTGAAATTTATCTTCATGATCAGAAATCAAAATAAACTTAATAGCTCAAAAAGCTTTTGAGGAAAGATAATGCAAAGATATAATTCTAGATCTGAACTTCCAATACACATATTAAATTTCATTTTCTTTATTTTAATGTATCCTTTTGGGTGATAACACCCTGGGAACCTTTTCAATTCCCCTTTAATTTAATTCAACATTCACTATCCCTAGAAGACTATTCAAGCTTATGCCACCTAACTGCTAAGACTTATGCCTGGAAATAAACTCTAATTTTATTTATTTCAAGAGTGGAATATACACACATGAATTTAAATGGATTTTATGTACTCAGGATAGGATTATTGTTTAAGATAAAGCCATTGTACCAACTTTTGTGAATTAGTTATTCCTACTAACAAGAAATAGGTAATAGGGAACCGGCAGTTAGCGTAATGGCTATGTCGCTGGACTCCCACGTAGTCGACCGCGGTTCGCGTCCCAGACCCGGTGGCTTAAAACTCACGCCGGGCGTGTGTGGGTGCATGCCCCAGATTCCAAGAGGAGAATGAAGGAGAAGGGATTGCGGTGTGACCATCCCCCCTGGGGGGTGATTTCTCGCTTTCTGTCTCTATGTCTCTGTCTGGCAAGTGCACGCGCCCTATAGCGAAAACCTCTCAAAAAAAAAAAAAATAGAAATAGGTAATGAAAGAATTTGATACTAAGTTATTAGGCAGGGAGGTAGAGGTAGTAGTAAACTTTCCCTGTATACATTTTTGCTCATCAAGATGGATTATTTTATGAATTTTCAGCATATTACAATGAATATGATTCTTGACCTTAGAAGTAATTAGCAAATCTATCACCATTGAAAATAGAAATTCTTATGCTTTTTGAGACAGCATTTGGGTCTCTATAATAGAGTTCTGTACACAATGTTGCCCAGGTAGAATTCTGACTGCTTTTATTATTCTAATTCATCACATTCTCCTCCATCATCAGTATTCCTGTAGGGCAGACAGCAGATTTGTTTGCAATTCTAACATATAGAACTTGAGTCACTTCCTTTAGAAAAAAGGTAGGTAAATTTTGGTGTTACTAAAATATGGTTTCTAAAAATCTTAAGTATGATATTATTTGTCTAGAGTTAGCTTATACTAAATTATCTCTTTTCTACTTCTAGTCAAGAGAGAGACATGATATAATGTAGGCTCTGGCAGTTAAATCAAAATAAATAAAGCACTGTGTTGCTACTTCCGCACTCTGTCTAACTTATTGGATGATTATCTATGATTTAATACTTTTTGAACTACAAGAGCATATATTCAATAACCTGGAAAATGTTTCCTATCCAGATGATTATGTGTCTCTTAACAAACCTAATTACATTTTCATTTAGCATGGGATTCAGATAATGTGCTTTAATGAATTTTCTTTTAATGAATACTTCAGGATTTAATAAAGTTTCTAAAATCAGAGCATTTCTTAAACATTTTAATCTTAGGGCCAGCAGGTGGTGCAGTGGTTAAGGGTGCTAAACTCCCACATGACAGACTAGTTTGAGTCCCACACCTGGCAGTTTGCTTTCTCACTCTCTCTCTCTTTCTCTCTCTCTCTCGCTCTGTTCCTCTCTAGTCAAATTAAAATAAAAGACAAATTGAATTAAATTAAATAATTCTTTAAAAAAAGTTTAATTTTATTTTTCAAAAATTGCAAGTTTAGTTATTTAGCAAAAATGCATTGTTTTAAACTTCATTTCAAAGATGAAAGTAGAAAATATAGATATATATGAATAAACAAAAATGTATGAATTTTATACATGCCAATGTAAGAAAAAAACTATAATTTGTGGACACAATACAAAAGAGTCTAATGTCATGAAATCAGAGAAAGATTTTCTCCTTGAGTCTACCTATTATATTTATTTTTTATAACCTCAAAAATCCTCAGCTCCTGTCTTCATAATTCTGTCTCACTCATATTTCCACAAAATAATAATAAAAGAGAAGAGTAGTAAGCAAACTAATGCTAAAAATTCTTTCTTTTAAACAAATTCAAAGCAATAGTACGTGACTATTATTTTTAAGTTATGCTCAAGATTTTCTTTAGTTTGCTTATAGATGTGGAAGCATGCTACTGAATTTTTGCTTTCCGACTTTTTTTTAAAGCCATGAATTCAACATTGTTTGAAATAATCCTGTATTACCTTAATACCAAGGAACAGACTTAGACTATATGTAATACATTAGTTTAAAAGTTTGTTAGGAAGTAAGCATTGTTATTTTAGAGATAAGAATTATGAAGGGGGCCGGCAGGTGGCATGGTGGTTAAAGTGCTGGACTCCCATATGGCCGACCATGGTTCAAGTCATGGACCCAGAGGCTTCCTTTC